CCTTTGGTTTGGAGCTCTGTACCTTCCTGTATCCCAATGACTCTTAAGTTTGGTCTCTTAATGTTATCCCATATTTCTTGGATGTTCTGCTCATGGTTTCTTAACAGTCTTGCTGAGCTGTCTATGTTCTTTTCCAGTTGAAATACTTTGTCTTCATTGTCTGATGTTCTATCTTCTAAGTGTTCTACTCTGTTGGTAGTATTCTCCATTGAGTTTTTAAGTTGGTTTATTGCTTCCTGCATTTCTAGGATTTCTGATTGCTTGTTTTTTATAACCTCTATCTCCCTGTATATTTGATCCTTTGCTTCCTGGATTTGTTTGCGTAATTCGTTGTCGAAGTGATCTTTCATTGTCTGATTTTGCTGTTTAATGTCTTCCTTGATACTCCAGATCATCTGAAGCATGTATATCCTGAATTCTTTATCTGACATTCCATGTGCTGCAGCTGTTACCTCTTCTAAAGTTGCGTTGACCTGCATTGCTTGTGGTCCTTTCTTTCCTTGTCTTTTCATACTGCTTGCGTATCTTTCCTGCAGGTGCGGGCGGCGGCTCTGCTCTCTCCTTATTCCAATTGGGGTGTCGTGGCTACCACGCCGGCAGGTCACTGGGCCTGTTCTGGGAGCTGGTGGCGGCTCTGTTCTGCCCCTACTCCAATTGGGGTGACGAGTGTACCACGCCGGCAGGCCACCGGGCCTGATCCGCCGGTCGGTTGCAGGTTTGCCTACCCTGCAGGCGCGGGCGGCAGCTCTACTCTGCCCCTACTCCAAATGGGGTGACTTGTCTGTCGTACCGGCAGGCCACTGGGCCTGTCCCGCTGGTCGGTCGCAGATCTGCCCACCTTTCGGGCACGGGTGGAGGCTCTGCTCTGCCCCTACTCCAATTGGGGTGTCGTGACTACCCCGCCTGCAGGACGCTGGGCCTGTTCCTGGCACGGGCGGCGACTCTGCTCTGCCCCTACTCCAATTAGGGTGGTGTGTGTACCACGCCGGCAGGCTCCTGGGCCTGATCCGCCGGTCTGTTGTAGGTCTGCCTACCTTGAAGGCGCGGGCGGCGGATCTGCCCTGCCCCTCCTACCACGCCTGCGGACCCCTGGGCCTGATCTGCAGGTTGATCACTGGTCTGCTCACCCTGCGGGCACGGGTGGCGGTTCCGCTCTGCCCCCACTCCAATTGGGGTCACGTGACCACCACACCGGCAGGGCCTGATCCGGGCGTGGGAGAAGGATCTGCTCTGCCCCTACTCGAGTTGGGGTGACGTGTGTACCACACTGGCAGGCCACTGGGCCTGACCCGCCAGGCTGTCACAGGTCTGTTTACCTTGCAAGCACGAAGGGCGGCTCTGCCCTGCCCCTCCTACCACGCCCATGTACTACTGGGTCGTGGGTCTGCCCACCTGGTGGGTGTGGGTGGCGGCTCCGCTCCGCCCCCTCTCCAATTGGGGTCACGCGGTCACCACGCTGGCGAGCTGCTGGGCCTGCTCCGGGGGCTGGCGGCGGCCCGGCTCCTTCCCTCTGGCTCGAGGACAAATTGAGGAGACTCGGGTGACTGAGCCTCACCCCCCTTACCAGGAGACCAACTGCTTATGTCACCGCTGGTATTGATGAAGATCTCTCCTCCACCGCTTTCTGCTGACATCAGATCTCTGCCATGTTGGTATCCTATGCGAATGGCAGCATTTCGTTCCCCTTGCCGGGCAACCCAAGCAACGGGTGAGTCCTGACCGGCCCTCAGCAGGACCCGGACCGAGAAGCAGTTTCCGCGGGCTCCTAGCCCCGGTCCAGGGAAGTTCCGGGAGCCGGAACTCGGCCGCTCCGTGCTCGGTGTAAGCTCCTATAAGTGTAAGCTCCAAGAAGCAGCCCCTGCGGGCTCAGTTCCGGGAGCCGGAATTCGGCTTCTTAGTGCTTGGTGTATGCTCTGATAGTAGCAGGGTCCAAGAAGCAGCCTCCGCGGGCTCCGCAGCCCTGAGCCAGGGCGGTTCCGGGACGGTTCCGGGAGCCGGAACTCGGCCGCTCCGTGCTCGGTGTAAGCTCCTATAAGTGTAAGCTCCAAGAAGCAGTCCCCGCGGGCTCAGTTCCGGGAGCCGGAATTCGGCTTCTTGGTGCTTGGTGTTTGCTCTGATAGTAGCAGGGTCCAAGAAGCAGCCTCCGCTGGCTCCGTAGCCCTGAGCCAGGGCGGTTCCGGGACGGTTCCGGGAGCCGGAACTCGGCCGCCCCGCGCTCGGTGTTCACTCCGATAAGATCAGATTTTAAGAAGCACCCAGGCGCTGTAATTTATTGATTCTTGATTTTATTTTGTGTGCTTTACAAGTCTTGTTAAGGAATGATTTGGGCCTACTTTTTCTTCTATTAGTTGCAGGGTCTCTGGTTTAATTCCTACATCCTTGATCTACTTTGAGTTGAGTTTTGTGCATGGTGACAAATGAGGGCTTAATTTCATTTTGCTGCATATGGATTTCCAGTTTTCCCAGCACAATTTGTTGAAGAGGCTATCTTTTCTCCAATATATGATTTTGGTGCCTTTATCTAGTATGAGATAGCTATGTTAATGTGGGTTTGTCTTTGTGTCCTCTATTTTGAACCATTGGTCTACAAGTCTATTTTGGTACCAATGCCATGCTATTTTTGTTACTATTGCTCTGTAGTATAATGTAAGGTCTGATATAATGATGTCACCTGCTTCACTCTTCTTGCTAAGGATTGCTTTGGCTATTCTGGGTCTCTTATTTTTCCAGATGAATTTCATGATTGCTTTTTCTACTGCTATGAGGAATGCCATTGAGATTTTGATTGGGATTGCATTAAGTCTGCGTAGTGCTTTTGGAAGTATGGTCATTTAGACAATAACAATTCTGCCTATCCAAGAACAAGGAAGATCTTTCCATCTTCTAAAGTCTTCTTTAATTTCTTTCTTTAGAGTTCTGTAGTTTTCATTGTAGAGGTCTTTCACCTCTTTTGTTAAGTTGATTCCAAAGTTTTTTGCCTTTTTTTTTTTTTAGGTTATTGTAAATGTCATTTCTCTTTCAGAGGATTTATCACTGATGTTCAGAAATGCCTTTCACTTATTGTTGTTTGTATGTATTCTTAATAGCTGCCATTCTGACTGAAATGAGATGAAATCTAAGAGAAGTTTTGATTTGCATTTCTGCTACTTTACTGAATTCATTAGTTCAACAAGTTTCTGGTGGAATTGTTCGGATCCTCTATGTAGAGAATCATGTCATTGGCAAATAGTGATATTTTGAGTTCTTACTTTCCTACTCGCATCCCTTTAATTTTATCTAATTATCTGGCTAGAGTTTCAAGGGCTGTGTTGAATAGAAGTGGTAAAAAAAGGCATCCCTGTCTTGTTCCAGTTTTTAGAGGGAATGCTTTCAATTTTTCTCCATTTAGAATGATGTTGGCCTTGGGCTTAGCATAGATAACTTTTACAATCTTGAGACATGTTCCTGTTATCATGTTTTGAACATGAAGGGGTGCTATATTTTGTTGAGTGCTTTTTCTGCACCTATTGAGATTATCATCTTTTCTTATCTTTAAGTCTATTGATGTGATGAATTACATTTATTGATTTCCATATGTTGAACCAACCTTTCATCCCTGGGATGAACCACATTTGATCAGGGTGCACTATCTTTTTAATATATTTCTGTATTTGATTTTCCAGAATTTTATTGAGAGTTTTTGCATCTATATTCATTAGAGATATTGATCTGAAGTTTTCTTTCCTTGATGTGTCTTTGTCTCATTTTGGAATCAGGGTGATATTGGCCTCATTGAATGAGTTTGGAACTGTTCCCTCTTTTTCTATTTCATAGAATAATTTGAGGAGTATTGGTATTAGTTCTTTGAAGGTCTTATAGAATTCAGTGGTGAATACATATGGTCCTGGATATTGATTTTTTTTTTTAAATCATGGTCTTTTTCTCTTGTGATGAAAAAATTATCAGCTCTCACTCCTCATTCCTACAATAAAAGAGATACAATGCAATTCTCATGTCCATAATAGCTTGCTATCCATTCCACATGTCAACAATTTATACAAGCATATCTGGAAGGTAAAGAGGCCAAATTACTATTTTTTATTTAAAAAATGGTATAATAATGTTGCTGCCTATGCAACATTTCTTCCATTTTCCAAACATCCCAGTGAGAGGATTGGGAAAAGACAAGCAAACACAAATATAGAGAAAGCAAGACCCAGTGGATCAACTAAATTCCTAATAAGAGAGAGTCTGACGCTGAAATTTGTGAGCACAACAGTCTAATTAGAGTTTATCAACTTGTGCCCGTATCTCTTCTACCTCTGGGCACCTGGTGTTTGAACTCAAAGCCAGGAACCAATAAATGCTGTGAGCTGCACAGAATCCCCTTTGAACAGAGCATCACCAGTGACTAAGCAATTTCTATTGGTGCTTTTCCACCAAGAGTTCTCAGAAGGGCATACTTCTGCCTTGGGATAATTCAAAGAAACCTGTAATTCATTCACCACTCCTTACATAATAATGGTTTTTATCTTCTATCAAGCTAAACTGCAATAGTGGTAGGTCTATAGCCTAAGTGACATTGACTTCTTTAGTTGATGATCATTGGGTTTCCATTTTTATAATGTAAAAATGAAGAAATATGTATCTTCTAGGTTTTCATTGAAAATCATATTACATTAGATAATTGTAACTTGCTAAGTATGATGTCTGTCATATAGTCAAAATATTTTTTAAAATCCTAATATATTCATATCTTTTAGATTTTTTTCTTCCTAAAGAATGGATAAGATTAAGTGGTGAAAGTCTAATATGGGGAACTGAAATTTAAATTTACTGAACTGTTGTGTTCCTAAGGGTCTTTTTAGATTCATTCCTAAGGAATGATAAGGTATCCAACCCCATGGAGAAGTTAAAAATTTATCTTGGATTGGAGAAGATATTATGATGGATTGGGATAACCTTTGCCATGAGAGTGTTCCTTATTCATAAGTGTTCTCTTTATGTGTTTATTCTATTAGGTACCATTGGAGATTGGAAACATCATTTGACTGTGGCACAGAATGAAAGATTTGATAGAATATTCAAGAGGAACATGAGAGATTTTCCACTGAAGTTCATCTGGGATATAAATGAGGAGTAGAATTGTAACCAAGTATAAAATAATTATATAAAAATGTATTAATCAGAGAGTGAAATTTAACTTATACACTAACTTTCTACCTATCATTTAATTATTAATTCTAAAGTTATTGAATAGAATGAGTAAACTATGCTTAGATTAGTTGCCATTAATTTGATGAATGCTTTGACATATCAAAGCTTAAATTGATTTGGGAGGTAGACTACCTGGATCCCTGCTTGAACACAGGAAAATAGAAAGCTTAAAACGTGACTTGTTTCTGAAAGTCTTCAGGGAGTATTTGATAGTGTGTATTTTGTCTTTATCTATAATGAAGTTAAGGATCAACTAAACATTAACAAGTCTATCTCCCACCCACATCCCACGTGGGCAGTAGAAATGGAATGGGCTGGCTCTGGAATAAAGGCTAAGGAAAATAGATTGATGAAAAAGAAAACACAGAACACAGGAAATATTTTTTAAAGAGGAAGGACAGGATGGGCTAACCCATCATACCCTTCAAGCTTCCACACTAAAAAGAGCAAAATGGAACTCTTGATTGCTTTATTTATATTGGGGAACTTCAAAGGCTTTCCATGGAATGTTCTTTGCTGAAAAAAGTACAAGATGGGCTATACAGTTTCTAATGGATTATGCTCATTTGCAGAGCTACTGAGGGATCTTCCTAGTAGACTGGAGATAAAGATCATGTGCCTTGGGCAATCTATAGGTTGGAGGAGTCACAGATAGTTCCCAAGGAAAAACTGAAATCTCCCTGGCTTTCATACCGAGTGAAGACCTGCAAGTAATACATGGGTGGCTTCCTGCATCTATTGTTCTTGCAATTAAGCTTCAATTCTTTGGTTTCAAAAGTTTTGTGGGGTCTAGGGTTGTGGTTCAGTGGTAGAGCACTTGTCTCAAATATGTGAGGCACTAGATTTGATCCCCAGCACCCCATACAAATAAATAAAGGTATTGTGTCCACATACATCTAAAAATATTTGTTTTTTTTTAAAAAAAAATTTGTGAATATTGAAATGTAATAGTAAGCAGAATATTTGAAGAAGTCATGCTGCAATCCATGCAGCAACAACAAAGGTTCTCAAGTAAGGGCAATGGGAGACAAAGAAAAACACAAAGACTTTTTTAAACAAAGCTGGGGCCAGGTGGGACACTGCCCTCTGATGCAGGAACTAGCTCAGAACTAGCTCAGCATGTTTATTTTATCAGGTCTCATTATCAGGAAGTTAAACCACAGAAGTTCTGTAATTGTTCAAGGCTTTTGAGTTATTAAATGGCTTCTGTGTGCACTAAAACATTACAGAGCTAGAAACATTTTTGTAACTATCCTGCTGTACCCAGAATACTTATTTCACTGGAACATCTGATAACTATTAGTGTCAGAGCAAGATATCAAAGCCGTGCACATCCTTGCCTTTTAGCAAGGAGTGTTTCCCAGGTCTGACTTTTGCCACAGGAACAGCCAATAACCAGGGCTCATCCACTCCTCAAAGTGGACTAGTTATTTACTGGTTCAGCCATTATGTATTTGTATGAAAACAAAGGTTATAACCATAGTGTGTCATTCATTAAATCTATGCAACATAAAATTTAATAAATATTTAAGATAAAATTACTTTAAATACCTAGAAAACTACTGGTGAGTATGTTCATAATTCTCAAAATGAGAAAAACATAAAGCATAAAAGCAGTAAAAGAAACCAAAAAGGAAAAGATTAATGAATTTAAAATCATAAACATTTAAGAGTAGCACCATTCATAACGGACACCAAATGGGAACAAACTATATTACTCTGCTGCGCTCCTCCCCTGACTCAGGCAATGACAAGGCCCTACTGAGGTGGATGGCGCAAGGCGTCCATCCTCTGGAGGAGCGCAGTATGTTTCTCGGAATGGCTGGTATGTTTTTGTATTCCTTTAATAAGTATAGTTGAGACTTCTCATATGACCATTAAGTATGAAGGAAAAAACATGACTTTCCCAATTAATGCAACTACTTCTAAAGAATAAATCTGTTTGCTCTAAATGCAAAGATTCATCTGTGGAACGTAAATTGTTAATGTTTAATGAAAAAACCCCTGTAGGAAAAACAGTCAAGGAAGTTTTTGAGAAATTAAATTAAAATCTAGAGAAGAAGACTTAATGTTAAGAAGACAGATTAGCGCTTAGTACTGGGCAACTTGTTCTTGTTCCTGTGCACAATGGTTTGTGCTCTTGCTCTTGTTTGATTAAAATTAGTAGCCTCTCTTTTCAAGTTAACCACTTGCTATAACCATGGTGCCAATTCTAGTCAGTAAGTCAAGAAAGAATAGTCAAGGTATAGGCCAATAGTCTGGGACATTCCTATTATTAAAAGCTAACTAAGCAGAAACAGCTCAAAGCAAACCGAGAATTGAAAGTAAAAATGCTTGCTTATGCCTAAGCCAAGATACATTCTTTTTATCTAATTGTAGCTACGTAATATTTTGTTTCTTTGAATAATAATTCCTGTTTTGTAACCACAAAGTACTGTGAGCCTGCCAAAATGAAAAGTATATATGATTAACTTCATAAGTAAAGATTGGGACTCAGCACCTCCACTTTGGTGTCTGTGTTGTTTCTCCACCCCCCTTTCGTAGACTCCTCACCTTCTGTTCGTCTCCTGAGATCCCCTGTTGGAGCTGGACTCCGACATTACTCAGATTTATGATATTGGAAAAAAAAACACCCTAGATAATCAACCCATAAAGAGGAAAGTTTTATTTTAGTTCATGATTTCAATGGTTTCAGTCATGATGTCTTAGCCCAGTGCTTATGGACCTGTAGCGAGGCTTTACATTATGGTGGGGAACATGTAGAGCAAAGTTGTTCATCTCAAGGCAGTTGGAAAGTATACAGAGAAGAAGAGGAAGAGGCCAGGGTCCTAATATTCCTCTCAAGTACAAGCCACCATGACCTAACTTTAGTGCACTAGGCCCTACATCTTAAAAGTGCCACTATCTCTGAATATCATTAAGGGATGGGGAATAAGCCTTGAAACATTAGTCCCTGGTGGACACTTATCAAAGCCATTAAACAATGCAACATCTGTGTATACTCCAAAAAAGTAAATTATCACATTTCAAATGATGAAACTAAATATCGGTCATGATGAGTGAATTACAAATACTTGGAAGACATTAAAGAATTACAGAAACATATATTTAGTAGAAGAAAACCCTGACACAAATTTCAAGTTTCATTACATAAGACTCAAAAACACATGAAACTAATCTATGGTTTCAGAAGTCAGGAGAATATTTACCTTTAGGGGACAGTGTGGTAACTAGACAGATAAATAAGAGAACTCCTGAAATGTTAGGAATATTCTTTTCCTTGCTCAGTGCTAGACATTTTATGATTATTCATCTAACTTCATGTGTGTTTTTCTGTATTTTTGTAATACTTTTATAACATTTACAAAATAATTCATAATTATGAAAAATTTCTAAAGAACAGGAAAAGACTTTGCAATCATTAAGTGGTCAAAACATTAATTCATAGTTGGTAAAGTTTAAAAACTGGAATATTCAATGTTGAAGAGAGTGGAGGGAAATAAATATTCTCATATATTTTTGTGGATATGAAAATCACTTCATTACTTTAGAACAAAAGCAAAAGTATCAAATAACCATATTCTATGATCCTGTGATTTCATTTCTCAGAAACTTCTAAACTACTATTTCATTAACTCAATTTTCTGTAAAAATTTTTCTTTCACTACATTTTTTTTATTGTTTCAGCTATAGAATACTTTTACATATCCAATACAATTGGATTACTTTTAATTTGGAGATAAAACATCTACTTATATCTCCATGGAGAACTGTCACCAGCTGGCCAGGCTAGCAACAAAAAACCACACAAACACAGAAGTATCCTTTTGGGGGTCAGAGGCGTCTCTGAGACCTCAGCTCCTATGTTGGGGGGAAATAGGAGAAAGGGAGGCAAGAGGCAAGAGATAGAGCACACCTGAAACCCCCCTATGTATTGAGGAAAAGCCGTTCATAGAATATTCCATCCAAATAAGACAAGGGATTGGGTGGAGGCTTGCGTGGTGATGTCTTGTGGTCCCGCAGGTTGATTGACATCTCGGGAAGCCACACCCATCTCAAGTGCTGTATTGGATCACAGGTAGAGCAAGAGGAAAGTCATACATGCCGTGGCACAGCCCAAGAAGCACAGAACGCCAGTCCAGTCCCCTTATAAGCTCAAATGCACATAGCTCACACACACAGTCCATGGATGGCTCGCTATAGGGAATATAAATCTTTCATTTTTGAAACTCTTAGTACAGCTTTGTTAGTCAAATATTTTGTTTAAAAAAAGAATAATTTATGTCTAACTAGTTTATGTGAAAACATGGTAGCTCATTAAAATGATTCATAGAATATTAGAAAAGGATTTTTCTTGAACTTATGAAGAACTAGAACCAGGCAGTAAGAAACAGTCAGTGATTCACATAGTTTTCAGCTTTTGCTTTCCTTGTCTATTGGCCCTTACAAAATGGGGCTTGATGAAACTTATCAAGACATACCTCCCATAGTGAGTACTCTCAGGTAGGGCCAGACCACTGCTTCAGGCAGGAGGATGAACCCATGGGAATTTCATCTTGAGCTACTCCAGGAGTCAAAACTCCACTTTTTGGCCTGTTTCTCATTCATCTCAGTACAAAGAGGTTTGTATTGATCTAACTCAAGCCACACCACTAGGGCTCCAATGCACAGTTTGCTGTACATGAGCTACATAAGTGTTAATCTTCTGATGGTCAAATCAGTGCATGATCATCATCTACTTTGGTTTGGCCTCAGTCTGCATTAATATCAATATTTCAAGAGCATGTTTATTTTTCTTTTAGGTAATGAGGAACCCTCTTTCTTTCCAGATAGCACTATTGGCTTATACTATCATGACAACATATTGTGAGTGTAAATGTTTACCTTCTTTTCTTGGAAAGTCTGAGAATTCTTAATCATTTTTGTTCTGGCGGTTCTGGAAATTGAACCCAATGACTCATAAGCACGAGGTAAGCAATTTACCACTGAGCTACCTCCTCAGTCCCAGTCTGAGAGCTCTTGGTGGAGCAATTAGCTTGACTTTCTAGACTGATGTTCCCAGTGGAAATGCCTCAGCTTCCAATGTCTATTGCTCTGGATCACTGTATCTAGTCATCCACTGGCCATTGTCCATGAAGCTGCTCCAATTGATAAAGAAGTCCCAGTCTGGTTCTGTGGCATATTTCTCTTTCTGTAAGCTTATTGGTTTTGTTTTTTAATGGAAGTGGCCCTTTATATTCTTTCCTTAACTGTGGGAGGCCAACCTTACACATGACTGAGTTACACTCCCTGGCTGGGTGCTGAGGCGCTCAGTCGCAGAAATGTGGCACCCTTCTTGGGTTTGAGGGTCGGTGTATCATGCATGGGTGTGTCTTGCTACAGCCCCATGGGTGAAGCTATGCTCACCTGTTCCTTCATAATCTAACCCCTTGCCCTGTTTAGGATAGAATCTTCCATGGAAGTGCCTTGTGTGTGTCCCCTTCTCTTACTGTGTCCTTGGATGTGGCCTACCAGGTGTCAATCAACCTGCTGACAGTGGACTTCATGAAGATACTCAGCCCCCTGAAACCTGAGCCCTTGCCTCATTTGAATAGCTTCTCCTCAATAAAAGGAATTAGCGCGTGTTCTCACTCTCTCTCTTTCTACGTACCCTTAAGGTCAGAGGAGCCATCACAGTGACGCCAAAGAAAAAGGTATTTGTGTCTCTTGTGTGGTTATTTTGTGCAGCCCAGTTAGCCCAGTTTAACTAGAGTGACCCCTGAGCCTTTTAGTTGTGAGAACAGAAACCCGGCACTTAACTCTTTTGAGAATCCTTTTTCATGATTTGACAAATCCAACCTGTTAGAGTAAATAATCTTCAAGATTGCTCAGGGTTGTTGAATTTAAGGTGGACATGGATTTAAGGTTGAAATTTGGGTTCTCTAGTGGAATGGCCTAGTATTTCCCCATCAGTTAGTCAGTAGCCACCCTTTGTTTTAGTAAATCCAGGACTTGGTGAGGAACAAACAGCACTGGATTATTCTAGAGTGAACTTCTCAACCTCTTGTAGTGATTCATAAGTGCCACTCAATTGTCTGATTGCAGGAAAAAGAACTATCTTTTTGTTGTATGGTCAAGCTGCTTTGACAAATAAGGTAATGGTCATGATATATCTTTCAATGTCTGTAAGAGAATTCCACAGGTGGTTCCTTGCACATATAATCCAAAATCCTTTTGTAAATCAAGCAAGCTTAAAGTAGGGGTGGTTATGAGGCTTTGTTTTAATGTCTCAAAAGTGGATTGGCACTCTTGGATCCAAAGCAAATACTCTATTACTGTTCCTATAAAGGTCTCATATAGGTGGTTAGCTATTAGTCAAGTTAGTGATCCAAATACATGAAAATTTTGTCATTCCTGGAACCCATATACTGTCTCCCATTCCTGGGTTCTCTAAGGCTCAAAATAACCTGCATATGATCTGATATCAAACTTCAGGTTCCTTAGTAAATCTGTAATCCCAGAGAGGTGACTTATCATTTAGGTAGTTTAATACAGTAATGGTGTTTGGAAAGCAATGTTTACCATCAGGGTTAGCTATAAACAGGTCATCCATACATTGCAAAAAAATTTACTTGATTCAGCCATAATCCTGGCATGTCTCTTGCTAAACTCGCATTAAATAGAATAGGAGAGTTTTAAATCCCAGAGGTAGTCCAGCAATATTGGGTGGTAACTTTGGAATTTGGGGTCCTGTTGCTCTAAAGCATGCAATAATTGGGACTTCCTTTTCAGTGAGATGGAGAAGAATGTATCCTTTAAGTCCAGAATTGTGAACTCTCCATGGTTATCTGACATCACACTCAGTAGGAATAGAGATTTGATATTGTGGTGTAAACATTCTGGGAAATATTATTTATAGCTCTCAAGTCTTGAACAAATTGGTAATTGTAAGTGGGTTTACTAGCGGAGGGATAGAGGTATTATAGGGAATCTGGCAAAACCAACTAAATCTGTGGTTTAAAAATTTGTCTAGAAGAGGCTGGATACATATAAATATCTCTCCTAAGGGGATGTTCTTTCTTCATGGGGCAGGTTACAACCTCTTGGGGTAAAATCTAGATTGGGGTATCATTGAGAACCCTCCCCAGGGTCCTTTTGACCCAATGGCTTGACTGATTTTTTTTCACAGATCTCCAGCAGAATGGATTCAGTTTCTTTTCTCTCTCTCTCTCTCTCTCTCTCTCTCTCTCTCTCTCTCTCTCTCTCTCTTAACCTAGTTGGCAAGTAAAAGCTGAAACCAGGGCACATTTTCTTGTGGCACTTGCAAATGAAGCCATTGCTTTTGGGGCAAGAAGGTTATCTGTACATTTAATTTACACAAAAATTCTCATCTCAGGAGAAGGATTGAACAATCTGACATATACCAAAATCTCTGTTTTAGTTTTTGTTCTTCCTGGTTGCATGTAAGGGATTATAGCAATGGGTGTCACTGAGCCTTGTCACTCCTATCACTGACTGATATGGTG